AGTAGGCTTCATTGGCAGTAAAGGGTTACTAAGTACGCGGTTGTGTAATAGAAATGTACAAGATAAATTATCGGATAGATTATAAAGTTCCGATTAATTATAACGAATTATAAGCAATGCTATAAGGCACAAAATTATATGAGGCAAATTAGGTTTGAAGTAGTTACACTTTGCTTGTGGCAATTCATAGAAAATGGCAGGCTCCATACAGGTGTCCTGCGTGAGGGAACTAGCAACGCTAACAAAGCACAGCTTGTAGATATTAAAGAGAGCGCTAATCGACACTGATTTCAATGTTCTTGAATTTAGATCACTCCACAAGCACAAAATTGGGTGTAATTTCCATCGGACCATGTGTTCCCTTCTACGATGAAGGTTTACACGCAGTTCATACAATTCTAGGCCATTTGAAAAATTAAAAATAATTTTTTTTTGTTCTTTAAAAGGGTAAGTTGTGACTCAGTATTGTGGATTATTCAGACTGCGAACGAAGTGTTGATGTGATTTACCGGTAATACACCCACTTACTTAATGAAAATTCAATACTTCTTTCAGCATTCGGGACGGCCGATGGATAAGTGACTGCGATGGTAAACCAAACAGCTGTTTGATTACCTGTTCTTCTTTTCACTCCTGCTAGTTGTAGTCGTATCGAAATATTGTTTTGTGTGCGCTTATCGAACTTTGAAACCAAAGGTGGTAAACAACCTGGATCCATTTACGAAAACACATCTGATTAAAAAGAAAGATGTGACCTTCACAAAGTTGTACTTCTATATACGTTTTCTGTGAAGTTGTATTCCTCAAAGCTATACTGGAAGCTATGTTGGATATAAAAGAAAACCTGAGTTAGCTGTTTTGGCGATAGTTCCCAGATATTAGTGTGATTTTTTCTCTTCGAAAATATTGATAAGCATAGGTAACTCGTGAAGAGCGGTTATTTTGATGGAGGCATCTTCATATAGAGTAAGTAGGGAATGGTCTATTCGTCTCTGTGCGTTCCTACGTGTTTATCGCGGGAAATGAAAAAATCTAGCTCCTTATAAGGAGGCATTAAAAACTGTAGGATTAAAAGACAAGTTAATGTATTGTATTGGTTATTTTTCTAACTTGCGATAGGTTATGCTTAGCTGGCAGTAACAGTATCCTTACCGGATACTTCTCCTAATTCTCCTGGTAGGGTTTGACCTAATGACGACTAACTCAAATAGTTGTCCATAAAAAATCTGTTCTGTAATGCTAAGCACAAAAGAACTTTAATGCTAAAGAGGCAAATAGGTCAAAGGCACATTTAGGAAATGCCGTTCAATAAAGGATCTTTTTGGCACTCAGTGTGTCTTTCAATAGTATTTCCATTACATTAAAAATAGAAGCATGAAATCACTAATATGGTACCAATACGTTACATTCATAGGATTATGCTCAGTGTCTTAGAAGGGTTAAAAAGCTGTGAATTAACACAGACCGCCTTTTCCCCCAACTTTTGGTGGTCAGTTGACAACGAGTAAGTCAACGGTAAGGATTACGACGCCGGTGCTATGCGGTTTCAAGGGCTTCCAGCGGAGCTTCGCGTGGGAGCGGCTGACCTCACTCCAGTCCACAAATCATCACCTATATTGAATGTATGTATATGTACAGGCTGCGATCGAGCTGGGCCGTCTTTCTTCATCTGCAAGGACGGTCACGTGATCTGCGAGTCGTGCGCTGTAATAGAATGGTCTGTCACCTCTTTGGGATGGTGCCCCACATGTGATCGACCCGTTCAACTGAGTGCGGGCGGCATCCCGATAAACGTTTTCTCCGAAATGCTGTTTCAGTGCAAATGTGGATTTGAGGGGACGCTTGCCCTTCTCAGAAATCATCTCTTAACTGAAGTATCCCACATGCATGCAGGAGGCCACCCAAGTATGCCGTCAGGCAGGAGGAAAAGGAACGTCACCCTGGACCTAATGGAAACCAATATGCCATTGGTAGAGAATATTCGTACCGAACCAAACTGTAGCACATTAACGACCTCTGTTTATGCTATTAGGAATAGCAAAGTTGATGTATCCGCTATCAAAAAAAAGCTTTTAGCGATAATCAAAGATATTGATGAAGCAGAAGAGCCCCCTTTAATGGCCGCGGCTGATCAAGCAGATGACAGAATGTATTTTGTTAACCAGATTACAGCAGTCGCCAAGAGTGTCAATGATATCATGACCTGGTTAATTACTCGCGAACAACAGCTCGATGAAATATTTCGCAATATGGGTCGCGGCGAGGCAGAGCTGTCTGGGCAGGAAACTGCGTGCTCACATGGTTATGCGGCTGCAATGCAGGCGATACGAGACGTCCAGCAAGAGGTGCGTGCTATTGAGCAAAAGATCGTTGCGGACAGGAAATCTTTTGTAGAGAAATTAATTACTAGTCACCTTCAAACGGAAATTTCGCAAGCCAGCGTAAAGCTCAGCGGTGAAATCGCTTCGTCCAACACCGCTTTCTTTTGGTTTAACTTCGATGCGCTTTATCAAAGCTACCGTCTCACTGGAGCATTCGTTGAGTCGGAATGGCAATACAAGGTAATTGCAGGCATCTGCTTTGGCGTGAATATCGAAATAGACAAGATCGACGATGAAGTATATCTAGGGTTATATGCTGCTCCGAAAGACCAAATCCAAACGGATGCGCCTTGGCCACTGCGCAGGACGATCATTCTGAGCGTTCACGACAGAGAAGGGACGGTTGTGGAAAGTAGATCTTATAATTCATTTATGTACGGCAAATATAGTGGAGGCTACTTTGCTCCTAGTGATACAAGCGCTGCTGGCTATAAGAACTTCGTGCAGGTCTCGTCCCTTTGCTCAAATTACTGCATCGTTAAGGGTCTACTGTGCGTTTCCATCGTGGTAGAGCCAATGAAACAAACCAAATGCCCGGCGTCGTCTGCAGCATGCTCTGGGCTTAACGAGACAGCAGGGACAAGCAACTGGTAGTTCTTTTCTAGACTCGAGTGCCATATTTTAGTCAGCTGTTTGTCAATGGCGATATCCGTATCTGGTATATGTTTACTTTGAATGGGTGCAATTGTCCGCTTAACGGAACGTTTTGGATTCTCAGTCGCTGAAAAGACCGCTACAGAAGACCGAGCGAATTGTACCAGCTACACGAGAGGTTTCGGCTGTGAATTGACATGTTATTTTTCGTGAATAGCTTTATTTATAGATAAAATTTGGACTAATTTAATACCTTGAATTATTAATTAATGTAGCTAGTGTAATACACTTACGTCTTCCAGTTGGAAAGTAGGACATGTTTGATAATAAAGGTCGTCAGCTTATCGCTGAATACATCTATAAAAACCGTTTACTTTCGTCAATAGTTATACACTAACAAAACATCGTAAAAACACAGCTGATTCCATTTTGATTTTAAACGTGCGCTTTGCGCATCAACGTACGAGAACCATATGAGACTTTTGCTAAAATCTTGTAGAACGCCGTGTAAGGCAGAAGACGTTTGCTAGGTAGTTTCCGCTGCCGTTGACTGGGAAAATGTTCCACTTAAGGTAACTAATCCCTTCGCCCGTTGGCTAAGACTTTCCAGTGCACTACCTAAACTTCTCAATGTAGACTAGCTTTATTGTTGACTCGATCTAGTATTACTACTAAATCAGTCATAGTTCATACTTGGCGAGTCAGATCAGACAATCTATCATTGTACAGTTTCCTGTGTGTCATACATGTCCATCGTTTGACCTAATTGATGAGTCTCCAGTGCATGTTCGTGTTAAAGGCGGCATATGGTTTACATAATATCGTTTTCAAATAGTAATATCGATAGAGTCTACATATGCTAACGCTAGCAATTAACGAGAAGACAATGGGAAGAGGTTAGGATCTTCGTCGCAAGAGTTCTGACTGCTCGTAGGTTAAATCTATTGAACTACAGCTTAAGAACCGCACCAGCCTACTGGTATAAAATACTGCTCTTAATGTATGGGTGAGAGACGTCCTGTTGCAGTGCAGAAACGATCGTATTTGTACAACAGGTGTAGCCTTCACAAGAAAACAGTTTCATTGTTTACACGTTGAATTGAAATGCGTTCTGTTCCAACAATTCTCTTAAAGCACAGATCTCGAATTGTCGCATCTTCCTCTTGATGACGTTACCAATAGCGTCAAAGTGTCGCTGTCAATGAAGAACGAAAGACAGGAATGATTTGATATGTGGCCTCATGCCAGCCATACGCCCATAAGCGTGTCAGGTGGGGCAAAAGCTCTGGAGAATTTGAAAACACATTTTTGCAATTTGAAGAAGGTCGTTCAACAGCTGGATGATTTACGTCTCCTATCTGGAAAGTCGTTGCCAAAAAAGATGTACAACACATGTGTAAAAAGGGGCATCCTATTACGATTTCCATATTTCTGCTATGGGATGCAAGAGTGCTTCCATTGACTAATAGTTCAGTTAGCTGTTCGGATTATCGAACTCCGCTGTCTCTAAAACACGAAATACGTATGATACGTTCGAAAACGAATTGTATCTGGACGGGGCCGTGCGACGGCCAGCAAATCTTGCTGCGTAGACCTATTAGCATTGATGCTATAGTGTTCAAATACGGATGTAGCATGTTTAAAGCACATACAACAAGGAACCACTGTCAACTAGTGTTGCCCAAGATGATTAAACACTAGTCAATGACACTTCCAATGCACACATTTCGCTGCGACACTATATCCTGTAGTATGATGTTACAAAAATGTAGAAACGGTATTGGTATAATTGCTATAAGTAAAAAAAAGAAAAAAAAAATCCGTTTTTTTGTCGCAACACTGCTGTTGTAAATGAAACGTGTTTAAGAGCAAGTACCTATAATGTGCCCGTGTCAGTACGTCGTTGCGTGCCGTAGTCGTAATTATTATTTCATCGTAACCGTGCTTGTTTATCTGGACAACCACATTCATGGGAAGTGTCTCATAAAGTGCTCCGTCAAAGTTCAGTCGTATTTGCATCAACAGGCGCCATCAAGCATCCCAAACTGAAAGCAGTGTTGACCCACCACGAAACACGTAAGCAATCATGTTCCAAAGCTATTTCTGAAGCGTTTACCATATCACGACGCAAGCAATAGGGGCCAGCCGTTTCGTCTGTGCAGCGTAAGGCGCCAAATAGAAATGTAAGCTTTTTTTCCTTCTATCTGAAGCTTTTGCGTAGATGTCATATGTGTGAGGTGGTTCAGTATTTTATGCGTGTATTTTAAAGGCTAACAATGATGGTGGGTATTGTCCGTTGGTCGTTCCATCATTGAATTACAGTAGATGCATCCAATGTACCAGTCGTTTCATAAAAATGACAGGATTAGAAAGTAAAAATAGTTTTGGGAAACATTACGTTTTGTCGATAACCGTATCCATGAAGACGCGTCGACTTGGTAAGCCGTCGAAACATCTGCTTAGGACAGCTAAACGGTTTGAAAGCTTTACGTCATTTGTGCTAAATTAAGTAGAGATAGCTGACTTGTACTAAGTTACAGAGATTGGATGGGATCGCACCATTCTATTGAAATGAAGGTCATACTTAGTTATATTTGATTCGAAACGCTAATGATTTGTCGTGTATTAGTGTTAACTAAGCAAATACATTTTGAATTAATGGATGTTCGTGTCCCAGCCAGTTCTCTCATTCTCTCAAGTTCTAGCCCTTATCATAGCCAAGAAAAATAAGGAGAAATAGTTGGGTTTTTAAGTAAGCTTTTTTCGTTTACTGCTACTCTAAAATAGTTATCTCCGTTTCCTTAAGCTTTGTCAGCTGACAGCGTGCCAAAAATAAGGACCCGACGTACTCGGCACAATCGAAAAGACTCAAAAAATGCGATTTCAAGGCCTGCCACCTGAACTTCATGTAGGTTCACTAAACCTCACGCCAGTATATTCCACGTCAATTTGGGATAGATGCACCTGCGCGACTTGCTACAGGGCCGGGCCGTCGTTTCTAATTTGCGACGCGGCAGATCACATCATTTGTTCGGCATGTGCAATACCGTCGTTATCTCGTATTGAACTGGGCTGGTGCCCAGCGTGTAAGGGCCAGGCCTCTTTCCGGCAAAGCGGTATTCCAATCAATATATTCGCCCAGGTGCTGTTTCGTTGTGAATGCGGCTTTGAAGGTATTCTTGCCGCTATCCAAAAGCACCTTCTGGCGGAACGCTCTCTTACCAAACCCGATGATCTCAACGACGTCAGCCCAATGGTCAGAGCGCGGAATAATAACGAACACCATATTTTATTTCCGGGTAAAGGTTTGGCTGAAATTCCACGTTTTATTAGTCTTCACAGAAGAGAGCGCGCTACACAAACAGAAAATGCGGCCTTCGAAAACTCTTGGGACTTGCCCTGCAAAATGATGCATATGCTCTATGCTATTCAAACGAGGATGGGTGCTCTCGAGAAACACATCGTGCTGGCGAAACACGGGCTGAAACAGCAGACAAATCAAGTGGACGTAATAACAGAACTTGAGCGTTGTTTCATGGAGGTAAACGAACGGGTCGACAAAATAGAGAACGAACGACATGCAGCTCAGAAAGCAGCCAAAGAATACGTTTTTGATGAAATGGTCCCATTAATCACAACGGTCGTCGAGGAGACCATATCGTCGGCGCCGTTCCGGCACCACGCCGAAACCGTTGATAGTGAAAAGATTCGCAGCGTAGCTCGTGAAGAAGTTGTCAAGCTAAAGCAGGAAATAGATAAAATGAACCTTGAAACGATCCGGTACGAGTTCAAGAGAGAAATCGCAAGTCTGGAAAGCATCGCGAACGCTATTGATAGCGAGCGGAAAGATGATGCGCGGATGCTTCGTGAAGATGTCAATACGGTGGTTGCCAGAGTGGAGGAGTTAGCTGACTCGCTAATAGATCGTGAGGCGCATCTGACCGAGGAGAGGGTTAAGGAAATCGCTCGCCAGCAATTAATGCTAACGCAGTACCGTCTGGAAAGCGCTGCAGTGACTAATATCTCCAGAAGTGTCAATGAACTGCAGGAGAAGTTGGACGCAATTAAGACGAGGGTGGACACAATCGACTTCAACCAACAGAACGATACGAATAGTTTGAAACAGCAGATTTGTATCGAGGCAAATAACTTTCGAAGACAGATGGCCACAGCTCGTACGCCGACTGACCCAGTGGTTTCATCAGGAGAAATCAGAACGGACCTGCACGTACCTTTCTGATGTGGTCAAACTCGCGAAATGCGTCTACCTGGCGCTAAATAAAATAACGTCTATGTGTCTTTTCTTCTTAATTTTTCGAACGATGTCTAGAAATTAAAGGGGTACCAATTTAGCATTGAGGAAGAAAAGCCAAATGTAATATGATTTATCTCGAATACCTTTTTTTGGTAAGATGTACGGTATACTGATGTACGTATAATGATCAGTAATGACGAATATCTCGATTTCTATGCGTCTACTACAAATATCAACGAAGCTACAGCTTTCAGATGGCCAGTACGCAGGGAGATCGTTAGAAGATTAACATTAGATATCGACGATAGAACTGGGGGAGTAAAGAATGGGGCAAGTTATGGCCCTGACTGCTTTCTACGGCTCTCCAGTTGAAAACAAACAGGATATCTGCTAAATCGGCAAGTGTGTGTTCTACACCCCTATACATACATCGAGACCATTGACGTAGGTAACGAATTTAGAGATCTTATAGATGTTAACGGGTACACATACCTTGTCAAAACGTATCCAAACAAGGAGAGCTATTTAAGGTGCAATTTTTATGTTATGGTATCTTATGAATGTTATGCTCTACATGCTCCGTAATACGACCTAAAGGTAACGGTGTACTATTTTACCGTTGTTGAAGTTTCTCAGGAATCTCAAACTACACATAAAGCATCAGCAAAAAGGAGATTCTATAACAAATTTTTCAAATGTTTAGCCAGGAATTATATGAGTAAGTGCCTCAAATGAATAAATTCTTCGTTTGTTATCATATACTCGCTGTGTATTCGATCGCCTGCAAACGCATTTTTTACATTAAATACAAACGATTTTACGGCGTCCGCTTTTTCTAACGGCTCTCATTAACGAAAATGATAGACTATTTGTTAGCTTCGGAAAGCTAATCTTCTAGACAGTCTTGCTCTATCAACACTTCGATATGTGCAACAATACATTGTGGATCTGACTTTTTAAAAGCTGAGGCACAAAATATTACGATCATTGTCTAGATATGATTACCGAAGAATTTTATATATGTTCTTGAAGAAATAACCCTTTGTTGTCTTAACAGACTTAACGAAAACAACTAGGATAATATCTAGAAGAAGGAATGAAAGGAGGAACGAACGACAAGAACCTAAAGTGTATTTCACTCTTTTCAACCACATATGAAGCAAATATTATGGGTAAAACATTATATGGATATACTATCGAAGACCAGAGTACATAGTAGACTAACTTATGTGGCGGCGGAACACGAAGAACTACTGTGCAGCTGCCGTCTTATTGGTCGCATTCGCAAACCCTACGCTCGCTAAAGACCCGCCTGGACCAGGCACAATTTGCAGGGCTTGGTGTTTTTGACTCTTCTCGATTGCCCGCACTGTTCCTTCTTGCCTCGTAAGAGGGCTAGGCTAGTCTCTTCTTTGAGGTCCACCGCCTCGCATGGTCTGTAAACCAGAAACTTTTCTGGTAGCTAGAATTGTCACCGTTAACCGGGCCGAACTGTTGTCGAGGCATCCAAAAAAAACAACTGGTTAATAGTTTAAAAATTGCAAACATTTTTCTCGTTTTTATTTTCTGACAGGCTTGTTTTCTGGGCTGCCACTTGATCGTCACAGTGAATGTGTGTGTGCTTGAGTTTTTCAGTGATACTTTTTACATTGTAACCCAGCACTTAGGTACTGCTGTAAACTGAAACACCGGTGATTCTATATGTCGGAAGTAATTGCTCCTTCCGAGTGGTTCAACAAATGCTACCGGCACTTTTTAGTCAAATCGGATAATATACGATATGAACCTATCGAAGCCATAGGACCATTGTGTGCACATAAGCATCAGCCAATATAAGCAAAATATATAATATGTTTGGCAGGGTTCAATGTGAATCGTACGGTATGTGTCCAAAACGTTTCCGCATGACTATGCTTGACGCAAAAAAAAATCGTCATTCTTTTGCTTCGTTAGGTACTTAACAGAAGTTCAGGTTGCGATAGACCCTGCTGGTCTTTTGAAATTTTAACTTAGTCACACTTGTTTCAAAGCAAGTTTCGTAAACTGAAAATCGGCTTGGCGCGCATACACGCATAGAGCAGCTTACATAAGCATCAATTCAGTAAGCATTTCGACAGTTTTACCGAAACCCCTCAAATTCAGGAGTTCAAGGTACTATCCACTCCGCTACTTTAGCGTACAATATAAGGGCGCAAATGGTCAATCTTCAACAAATATTTCGTAATATTTTATATAAATATACTTCTTTATTCACACCAATTATGTCGTGCTTATGTATTTCTAACAACAGTGAACACTCGTGTTCTTCGATCACATTTTTCTCATCTAAGCTTCACATACATGCCAATCTTCAAAATATCTAATTGGGTAGAAAGCAATGGCGTCTAACAACTATGAGGAAAATTCTAAAATACGTATACCAATCAAACTGGTAATAATACACAACTCTTTATTTGGTAACAGTAACCAACGAATAAATCATAGTTGAAATTGAGGTGCCGCATAACCTTGGCTTTCCTGCCTAGGAAGTCATAACCTTTTTTTTTTCTCAATGACGGTGTAGCTCTATATCGTAGGTTGGGATCGATCGATCGATCAAGCGTGTTTCGACAATCGGGACCATGTAGTAAGTAGGTAGCGCATATGGCGAAATTAAAGCCATGCTCATAGTTCGGCCTTAAGAACTCGGGTTAGTTGGTAAAGTTCGGGTAAGTTTGGCTAGCGTAAGTAAAACGGAAAGCGAGCAACAATTGACGTTTATGTCGTTCCAATGTTGTGCTACGTTGTAGCAGACTTGAGGACTTATATTACGTGACCCTGGTACATTTTTCTCGACGTGAAAGATTGATCTCTAAATTCCCCGAAGATAAGGGTGTTATTTTATACTTCCACTTCAGTTAATTGTCTCAATGAAAGTTTCGTCTATTTCGATTGAAACTAGTTTCACAAGGACACACTTTTCCAGTTACTTTTCAACTAACTTAGCATACGGTTTGGATACGGATGTTGGATAGTTAGCTTCTCGTTTTTGTCATTTCATTACGTGTTAGTATTTAACACCCCTGTAGAGTAGACGAAAGTTTGATGAACCGCTTTGCCGCTTTATATTACTGGTTTCTATTATACCTATCTTACAGATCGCGGCTGCAACGGTCAAAAAAACCCGAAGCAGGCAAGGGCAATCAAGATGGCAGACGAAAGCATTCAATATCTGTATATAAAGGTAGGGACATTCTACGGCCGCTTCGTGTAAAAGTTTAGACGGTATTCTGTATAAAGCTATATAACAAAATGTCCTATATAATAGGAAGAATTCTGAACGCTGAAAATTATTCTCGTGAAGACCTATAATTAGCAAACTTCATAATAAGTCGAGGCGAACATGAATAGAATACAAGTATGTAAAGATATTTAAACTGTAACATCCTATTAATATCTATTGTCAATACTACAAAAAACTATTACGCATTTTTCTTCGAAAAAGAATTGAGCTTTCCCTGCAATCATCTTCACGTTTTCCACATGTTGACTACAATTTGTGCATGCATTGCAATATGAAATAGGCTCGTCGATGCATCGATGTGGATCACGCCTCTGACCCTATTCGTGAGCCTTTCAAAAGCTTGTACGCCGCTAGTGAGCACCTCGGCAGTGCACTCAATAGTCTAAAAAATCGAGGAGACCAGACGGAGCAAACCCAGCTGGCTGCAGCTCAAATCCTATACGAAATGGGTAGGTATTGCGCTTTTGTCTTGTGCCTGTGAATAGTACCGGTGGTAATTTTTACTAGATATACGCTATCAATTACTGTTATCTAAGGTGATTTAGTTTTATCGAAGAATTCCCCGTTATTTAGTTTGCTAAATAAAGGAACGATTGTTGAGTGATTTCATGCAGCTGTAATCGAAGCTGACACTGAGGAGGCGGGCGGTGGCGTGAAAAAACTTCAAGAAGCATTGGACTCCTTGCCTTCACTTTCGAATGAAGCTTCGGCCTCTGTATCAAGAGCCATTCTTCATTTGTCAATTCTTAATCAACTTGCTATTGTCGACTCAGTAAGGTATGACATCCATATTTATTATGAAACTTTCGATTGCACGGAAGTCAACCACCCAACACTTGGTTTGTACATTTTTAGGGCAAGATATCGTTGTATTATAATTCATATTTTTAATTATTATTACATTACATTATATAAAAATATTACGTTATATTATATAAAATTAAAAACGCCTTCATTTGTGAAAAGAAATTGTTTATTTGTAAGATCGCCAAAAAGATCGTGAAGCGGCTAGCGAGTCGCGCACCATTTCGGTGACCATTTATTGCCAAGCAATAAATCCCGCTGCGGGGGGGGGGGGGTAATTGCTATGATTAGCCTAACCTATCACGCGGTGATTGAGTCTATCTTTCTATATTCTTTCAATTTTTCAGAAACATGCTGGAAGAGGCCCTCCAGAAGCTCAAGGCTGCTGAAAAGATCTATAATACTCTAAACGAAAAATATAAGACCGAAGCTGAATTGGACAGTGTACCTCACCACCTTGAATTTCTGCTGGGAAAAGAACCTCTTCCCCAGCGAGCCAAGTATTCTTCATGGATTGAGGAAGAAGGTAGCTCGCTATATTTTGCTCGAGTTGTTAATTTTGTAGTTCGAGACGCAACGGCAATCTATGAATAATAACATATGACTTTCGCTTATACTCCGAATACGCTAAATTTGTAGGGAATTTGTAGGGAGTTTGTGTATTTTGAATGTTTGCAAAAATAGTGCTTTACATTTGGCGTCTTGAAACAAATGCCAATGTGAGTTCGTAGTCAGCCCTAGAAAAAAAACTCCAATTGGTCCGCTCAGCTGCGTGACAACTAGTGCTTTTATTATGCAATACTTTTCCCAAGCTATGGAGTCCAAACAAATGGAACCCGTTCCATTTATGAGTTATGAGGCATCACAGGTGATAGCGTAAATAGAATGAAGCAAGCTCACACATACGTATATCTTTCTAAGCTGCGTGTATTTACTACCATATATTCACTCTTAGGAACGAAAACCAAGTATTATTTGGCTCAGTGCTATCAACATCTTGGCGAAAAGGAAACCGCTGCAATCTACTGCCATCTGACCTTGAAGAAGCAGCTAAAATGTAGAGATTTTCTTTCTTTTTTCGACCCGATCGACTGGGCGGTCAACGCTGCCACTCTCAGTCAATTCTTTCTCTACAGGTGGGCAGATCGTATATTATCAAGTCTCTAGTAACTTGTTCCATAGCCACGATGCTTACATGAACATTGTGTGTATAGTAGCACAGAATTAAGTGCACGGATCAAGCCAAATATCAATGTGTGACGTTATATGATTTTTGATTGGTATAGATAATTGCGTGTTTTTTTAGGGACAATTTTCCGTTGGCACTTCACTTGCTCGCATGCGCGGACCACATGTTGAACGAAACACGCAAAAAGGCCACAGTTGATGACGAGGAAAAGCTTTCTTGGCGTGCAGCCGATGTCGCCCGCTGTTGGATAAAGTATGGCGTAGTTATCCTCGAAGCTTCGAAGGTAGGGCTTAGACGTTTGATCGATTATTTAAGCTGATATATTTTTCAAGTGAAGAAAACTATACAAATTTTTATATTCGAACATGAGAAAAATAAATAATAATAAATTCGTTTGTATGTAATCTTGAATATGATTGAAGAATAGATTCATATATTTAGCGGCCATTGCGGTAGCAGAGGTGTGTACATTGACATGTTTTTACAAAAAAACTATTTATTTTTGTCTTTTTCTTTTACGAGGAACAACTCCGTGTTATTAGAATCGCTTTAGTAATATTCAAAAATTTGAATTTGATGGTAGAATCTGAAACGAGATTACGAGGACGGCAAACCTGTGGAGGTCACTCCGGCGCCACCGCTTCCGACAAAGCTTATCGACCACGATGATGTCGTTGCTGCCGAAAAGGAATGGAGGGTTGAGCCCGCCAAAACCTTTGAAGAAGCTAGAGAGGTCAACCAACTATTCGGACTGTCAGAAACATATGGTCGAACTTTGAGCCGAAATTAAATCTTGATAAATATCATAAGACTCAAGCAGTACGTCTTTGCCAAAAAATCCGTATACCCAAAAACCAAAGTAACCCAATTGTTGCCTTCGGAAAAGACGATATATGGTGTAGTTCTGTATGTCCAATACCGTCAATGTCATGATTCTGTTATTTTATTGCAGGTGTTTCTCGCAGCTCAGAGGAAGGTGGCTGAGGCCACATCGTATTACAGCTTAAAGGACCGGGCATCTGACTACGTGTTAGTAACCCAGGACTCATCAAAGCTGTACCGAGATTTGGCTGCTTTAGAGCCATCAGCTGACCGGAAATGTAAAATGCATAAGAGGTAACTGCGCTGATGTCCTAGCGACTTTTTCGAGCTGCTTTTAAGCAGTTTCGTCCAACTTTCCGTTGGGCATCGCTTGTTAATTTGGTCTAACAAATCTCCAATTGTCTAATGCACTATGGGATGAACAACAGTTTATTTTGACAATATTATGCCTCTTCTGAATTGCGCAGGCCAAATCCTTCGAGACGGTCTCAAAGTGAAAATATACATGAAGGGAAAGCAGTTTTTGCGTACGGGGCTACTTCACCTAGAGAAACCTGCGAGCTTATGTCATGTTAACGACAACCTGATAGGTTACCTTAACGCACAAAACTAATACCAAGATGATTTCATTGTGTTTCTTATAAGGCGTATCGATATGCTGGAAGAAATGGCCGGAACTTTAAATCCAAAATACTACTCTGCGGAAATGCAGCAAATTCACTTTGAGCTTGGTGAGGTAAGTCGGTTCATTGGCAAACGCCCACGCCGTCGCAACCAGTATGAGTTCCTCCTAGATTAGGTATAATTCTTACGATGATAAAGGATAATAGGAAAAACAGAAGCGAATTCGTGAAGCTCTGAAGCTTTCGTGTTTTCTAGCTTAAATTGCCAAAGTTAAAAAATGTCATTTTACATTTTGATTGGCCTTATCGCATACGTCTACGCTTAGCGCATATAGGAGGCTTATTGTTGGTGATGGGTCGGATTTTTAACATCGTCATTTTGTTACCCAGCCCTTCTACGTCAAGTATAGTCGTGTTTAGTTACGTCTTAAACATCCCAAATGCGTACCCATTTAACATTCTATAAAAGAAACAAGCCCATTATTAAACAATTAAAGCAGTGTCGTTAAAGTTAGATACATACAGACACTTTTCAAGTATCAATGTTTTGTCTGTTATATTAATGTCATTAGAAAAACTTGACAAAATATAACTTGTATATTAAATATGTTGCTTCGTCTAACCGATTGAAATTCTGCAATTAAGGTATATACCGAAATGATGGAGATAAAGTATTCAGTATTGCCAAAAGGTATGCTGAAACCTAGAGATGGCCCTGTCAACAAAATCAATGGGTTTATCCGTAATGCAATAGCGTAAGTCTCTGTTAATATTCGTTTTTGTATTCAACATATTTACACAGTAACTATTATATAGATAATTACAAACAATTGTCGAGGCTCATAGAATCGCATATATATATATACACGTGGATACCACAGACACCATTTCACACGGTTCATTCTCTATATGAATTGTTTGTACTACATGCGATCGTATCACTTACATATGTTTTTATTTTTCCTTCATCGCCTCGTTCGTTGTCTCTCAGGCACTATCAGATGTTTTTGGACTTGATTAAGGATTTTGTAGTGGACGGAACTGAAGGTTCAGATGGAATCTTTAAGATCGAAGATTCATACGTACGGCCTGCTCTCGTAGCGCGCTTTTCCATCGGTCGTCTGTTTTCCAAATACATCGTAGGACATCCTCGTGAAAATCTAGAGAACCTTGAAAAATGCAAGAAATACTACGAACAGGTAAACATAGACGGTCGCGTGCGTATCGGCTCACCAACGAAGTGTCCAGTTAATTTATTACTATTATCCCTGTATTCTAAGAGAAACTTGTCCATCTAACTATGTAGCATTTGGCTACAAATTTCAACCAAGTTGAATACTTAATACATAGAACAAACATTATAGAACTGGGCGAGTCCACCTGTCTCAGTTACAAGGAACAACAGTTAATCCATATTCGAATGTATGTGTAGCTAAATATCTCAGCCCATAGTGTATTCAAAACGACCGCAGGAAATAGCCGCATATAATTTACGCAGTTTGATCACAGTAGAAGGAAGACCTAATTGCAACGCACTCAAACATGGACAGGCAATTGTTAGACCCTTAGACGTCCTATTCTGTGTCGCTGAAGTAATTTAGCACCATCTGTACCGGATAGAATAATTTATGTACAAAAAGCTATCATTTTTCGTTGAAAAATACCGTATGCGCGGTCCTACTTAACTAATTATAGCCGTAATGCCTTTCTTTAACAGCATTCATCAACTTCATTTGAACTCAATTGCAGGTTGAAGCCTACGTCAAGAAGTACCCAGAGCACGAGCATCTCATTTCCGGCGAGGCGGAGGTGATGCGAGAGCTAATGGCAGTTTTGCCACAGACAATCCAAAATTTGATTAGCAGCACGATATACTAACTAACTCATATATAATATGGAACAATAACTAATGTTTTTTTCTTGTTCATCTCTGTAGACGCGGGTATCAAGACTAATAAAGTTGTCGTTCAAAGACACCTGGTTAGAAATAAATTTAATAAATCAATAAAGCCTACGATACGGATAGCCACTTAACAGTCTTCTTCTATTATATGAAAACACCTACGTAGCAATATTAATCATCCCACAAATGAACACTGTGCTATTCTAACGAAGCATCATATTATTTACTTGTAAATAACTTTCTCTATTCACGGAAATTATCTAGTGCATCCGTTGGTATATCTATAATATCGATCATTTGAGGTATTACAATTATCTTTTCGTCGGTTTGGCCTGCTTTGTTTCAGCTCTTTAAAATCACTAGGACAGGCCTGTATGACAGGTAGTTTACTAGCCGTATCCTTGGACCTAAAGTCTAGGAACTCTAGTCTAAAGGACCTAAAATTAGGAAGACGTATTATGTCGAAATGCTGAATTTACAAGTCTTCGAAATCTCACAATAGCCGGTAAACGTTGTCATAAATGAACAGGCTAGGAAAATCCTACATTATTCTATATATATAGATTGTGTTTATGTACATAGAACTGGAAAAGTGGGAACGGTTATGAAAGGCTCACAAAATATGAGCACGTGCAGACATACTCCGTTTCCTACAGTTTATCAAAGATTAAATAAAGCGCAACTTTCAGTGGTCATACACGACGCTGGACGTAAAAGAATTCAACCTCTCCGTTGGTGGCCATAAAAGAAGAAACATGTATAAGGTGGTGCGTCGATCATATGAGGAAAGTTTGTTCGAATACGAAACTCATTGTCGGGGCCCTGATTTTCGATTGTCGTTCATAGCTGGTCCCTTGGAGGCAATGGTAGCACAACATGTTGCTTGCAGAAACACCGCTAAACAATTGCCAAACGTTTGCGCTAGAGTCGCAAAGGCACCCATAACATATGACTAAATGGCTTAATGAACAAGACTTGGCGTTACCCAATGGAGCTTCCGCCTCTCTAAGTTACCCGAGCGTTTTCATAGCGGCAGAGAAAGTCTGCCTTTTAGGTTTAGGGTCTCGTAGAAGTAATGACGAAAAAGTGTCCCGTTGCAGAAGATGCTTCACCCCATAATTATTGTACGGCTATGATTGATTACGCAATTTGTGCGTAGTTATCTAACTTACATCCTGTTTATGTGCCTGGAGGTTGTCCTATAGGTCCTTGCGCTGGACTGAGTGACAAATCTTGGAAGAAGAGAGCTGCGCTAGTTGTAAAAATGGCTTCTTGTTATATTTGTTGAGAATCTTGGCATCTACAGATAATTATTCTAACATTTGCAACCTCGTTTAGAGATTTACACTATAACTATACTGAATCCTAAATGCTTGTAACCTTATTTTTGTAAACGACACCAATGCAACGGGCAACGAATTGCTAAGCCGCGGTCTTTTAATCTCTTAATGAATATTAATATGTGGAGTATGAGTTCGTCTGCTGTCGGATCGAGTGGCGTATTAGACGCCCTATGACGCGCTTTAATAAGAACGTAAGACCTTCAAACCTGAATTTAGCAGTGCAGGTATGAGGCACCGATGCCTGCAGAACGCTGTCACCAAAACTAAGTAAAAAATCAATGTTTATCTATATATGACAAGTGCATTGTCAATGAGCGCGCTCAGATTTTACAAAGAAACTTGTCAAATGTTGGCGTTTCTAAGGCGTCAGAATCGCATTCAGTCCACCACTTTTTCCGCCCACGTTCGAGCTCAAACAAACGCAAAATGCCCACGACCCCTGCGCTTAATATCCTGTCTTGCATATCTAATAAGCTTAGAATATAGCGGAAAAACAATGATCAACACGGTATCCTGCTGAATCTCTGAAGTCTGCGTGTCTGACTATTAGGTAAGGCTCGGTGTCTCCGTCAAGATATTGCGAAGATGGATGTTCGATACGCCAGTCAGAGACATTTCATGAAACTTCGCCCCCTTCAGATACAGAACACAGCATCGGAAGTAAGTTACTCCAGTCGTGGAGCACATCGTGTCGAACTTCTCGTTCGGAGCCTCAAACACTTCCAACGAATTTGGTATTTTTACTCTCGATTTTTCAACAGTGGTCATGCGTTGGCGATACTTTTTACTTCCTTTTCAAACGTGCATTGGGTGACATCGCTTCCGAGACTTTAGTGCGATTGTGACGCAAGAAATCAACTACTCCGCCACTATATAGTTCTATCGAACACTTCTAATTTAAATGCAGCAAAGCGGTGCGGGGTAGCCAAGCTTCTTTCGTCCCTCAAAGAAATCCCGTTTTGGCTTTGAAACGTGTTGATATCAAGTTTAAGGCGAGATAAATATTGTATAATTATCTGATAGCATATATTCACAGACTTAAACTCAGTCAGGTTAAGTTTGTTCCACTTGATGTATGCTGACGTATGTCCGCGTCTCATATACTTCGAAATTATAATAAACGGCTTGAGTAATGTCAATAAAAAAATCACGAGAATTTGGCTCTTAAGCTTTCTGTTACCGAAACGGGCAGGCCACCAAGGACAAACGATTTCAGCTCAGAATCGCTCACCGACTCAAGACATGTTTTTCGCAAGAACGGCGCTAGCCTTCAGCAGTACGTATTATGATTAACAGATACTTCCTGATAATAGCTTCAATTTTTGCGTTATAATATATATACATATATATTTTTCGTTAACTGGCAAATGATTTTGTCTAGGAGTTTATACAGAAGCTAAGTTGTGTTGCACAGAATATGCCAATGTACGGCGCAAAAATACATATTGAAAAATATCATAACGCTACAATTTTCATCTCGGTAAGTAGACAATAGTCCCAGTAACTTGTTGAGCTTCGTACAGAGTAGTAGGACTCGCATGACTTAACTTGAATTTTTGCAGCTCCACATTACTGCTATTCACTGCCAAAAGATGATATCTGATTAGCACTCAGCAAAAAACAGAAAAGCATAAAAAGTTCAGGCTCCTTTGATTCGATACATCGCTTGATTGAATGGTCTTATCTATATATTATATGAAGATATCAACTCCTCAAAGGAGTAATCTCACGCCACACTAAATAATCGATCATACCGAAGTCGTCAGCTTATTCAACAAGGGGCGTATTAAGGTAACTTGTGTCGTCTTGGCAAGTTCTTGTATTTCTAAAAATACTTTCGAAAGATTATTATCCGCTAAATTAACTGAGAGGAATTATATATTATAAATCATATTAGCGGTCACTTGTTCAATCTCTAGCATCTATTATATTGAAAGTTAGTAAAATCGTGTAGCTGATAACATCCTCCAGCTGATATATTTTCTGCTAGATATACTCAGGCTCGGCCACAGATACTTCTACGAGTTTTGGGCCGAAAACTTCGACTCGAATTGTCAAAGATAAAAAAACAGATCCTAAAATAGAACAAGGCAACATCAACCGTTCAGAATATGTGCCATATTTGGAAAAAGAACAAATTTAGATAAACGTTCTATCGAGGATACCTGCAGCGTTCACTATGCAGATTCCATTTATAAAAGGAGTCCTGATCGTTATCTCTACGTTAAATGCAGTCTTTACTTAATTTTACGCTTCTTAAGCCTAGCTCAAACTTTCCTTGCAGACGACGACGATGACATTTCATCAAAACATCGTCCTTCTTAATCCTTCGTTTTTTTAACGACGAAGGTTTTTTTCAAAGCAGGTTAGGTAGCGCGAATTAGTTTGGGATAGCCTGTGACTAAGTCAGAGTAAATTTTAGGGCGATGTCGAGAGTGAAAATAATGACTTCGGCGAGGAGCTTACAAAAAGCAGTCTGGTCAATTGTAGAACAGCATTTTTCTTCGGCGGCGTCCTTGTGCCACATATCAGGCCAGCGTTGAGTTACCTCCTATATTACCCCTGACCTATATTACCAGAGTGGAAACGACACGCGCACATAGGATACGCAGGCGAGAATCCAATCCGTTACGCTGTCATGGATGCAAATAGCCAAGAGAACCCAGAAGCATCGCGTTTTTTGTACCTCTACAATGCACTAACAAGCAAAAGTGCTGTACCGCCCACCGGAACAGTTGAGCTACATAGTGCGTATTAGATATTTCTATCACTTGCTTATCTGGAGATTCGTAAAATAAAAGCTAACCATTGAAAGACAAGTTACGCGCTATCAAATTCAAAAAAACGTGATAAATTTTTTACGACATCGAATCTGTTGGCCGTCCATTTGATGATCTTGAAAATTAAACTAAATAGAGATAGCCTTAGAAGCGTCAAGACAAGCTCGTCGGCGAGAATGACAAGTAAACGCATGGAGCACAGATGACACGGTATTGTTCTTATAAATGGATCGTCTACGCGTTCCCTGGCGTATTGATATAGTGCATATCAACCATGTTAAGGGTCACTTATGGAAAATAACGAGCCAATCACCAACGTATTCGGGTTATTACGCACTTTTAAGTAATATGTGTGTGCCGATAATTTTTGTGCCCTTAGTGATCTTTGAGGACAGTTAGCTTTATGGTTGGATGGGAAGATGGGAAGATGAAAAGGAATAAAGAAAAATGAGCCCCCAACGAAGTAAATCTAAAACATATCGAAATATATGCAGTACACCTTAGGGACCATTTGTACGGCTTTTACCAGCGGAAAGTCCGCACGGAGTACATTGTCGCCTCGAATGAGACGTGTGTCCCCCTTATTGGAGAACAATCAGAAGCCTAGAGCAACCGAAAAAACAGTACCGAATCGACTCTGGTGTCAGCTGGTACCAATACTAAGCCTAATTTTTATTACAAGATAAACAGGAACGACCAACGCTGCCAGATATCTTGGCTTCCTGGAGAGCCTCATGGATAGGTCGCTGTCGCCAATCGACAGTGTACATTAATATAAAGGTCTTACACTCTGCAGAATGCTCATTTGCGCTAAGCTCCTTCTTCGCTAGCAGAGTTTTAAGGATACGTAGATTAGCGATAATGGCGTCCTATCCGTCTCTGTCTTAACGATGCTGCGCAATGTAGGTACACACGTTCGTCAATGTAAGACGCCCTTACTGAACTACTGATCGAAGCTAACTATGTTAGCGTACTAATTATTATTGCTTCGCAATTG